GGTTGCGGGGGTGCTCTTCTTGCTCTCCTTGGCAGTTGTGGTGGAGGTAGCGTCATCTGCCGAGGAAGTTGTCGCGGCTTGAGGCTCCTCGGGCTCGAGAGTGATGGACTCGCTGGGCTCGCCTTCCTCTCCGAGGGGAGCTTGTTCATCCTTGTTACCCAGGCCAAAGAAACCCTTGACGCCTTCGACCACGCTTCCCTTCTTGGCAGACTCCACCTCGCAGCTGACGGTACCGCTGGCGACTTCAGGAAGTCCGTTGACAGGGCTCAGGCGGATGGCGAACTTGGTGGTGATGTTGGCAGTCGTGCAACTGAAGTCTTCCTTCAGTTTAGCGACAGAGGCAGTGAGGTTCTGTGTCTTCACACCCAGGATTGGGGATTCGACGACATTGCCGTCGACGGGGATCTGGTGGTAGAAGCTGAACTCGAAGTCGTCCAAGTTCTTCACGGTAACCTGCTTCTCGGGGCCGACCTGGGAAGTGGGAGTGAAAAGCTTCTGCTGTCTCTCCTTAGACTCGGAAGCCCACTTGAGCACGACAGCGTAGCTCGAGGCATCGCTTGCTCGAATGTCCTTAACGCGGAAGCTAGGGCTCAGAGCGGCTCCCTTGAAGGCAGCGCCGAACACTGCGGCTTCATCCGCATTGACACTGGTACGAATCTTGTTGGCAGATCCGCAAACCCGCTCGAGCTCCTTCTGCACAAACGGTGTGCGGATGGCGCCACCGTGAAGGATAACGGAGTCAATGTCGCTCAGCTGCAGTCCGGCAGCCTCCAAAGCTTGCTCCAGGGGCTTTCCAACACGTGCAATATGCTGCTCCGCGAGTTCCTCGAACTTGGCGCGGGTGACACGATACTTGAAGTTGAGATCCTCTTCATAAAGACTCTCGAAAGAGGCGCCCGTCTCAGTGTTCGCACTGAGAACTTGACGAGCCTTCTCCGCATCCTTCCAGAGTCTCGCCATGGTCTTTCCGTGGGCCTGGACATCAGCCGGTGAAACCCGGTCCTTGAGCTTCTTTTCCTCGACGAGGCTGGCGATCATATCCTGAACAATCAGATCGTTCAGGGCATCTCCTCCAAGAGTCTTATCCCAGCCGGTTCCCAGAACCTGGACTTCCTGGACGGTCTTGTTGAACCGTCCCACATCCTTCACCGAGCGACTTTGGAAGCGGAGGACACTGGCAGTTGTAGAGCCGGCGCCCATGTCGTAGACAATGTGGTACTCGGGCTTCTGGCCATCTGAAACACTGGGGAATGTGCGGCTGGTTGCGTAGTTCAATCCGACCGCAAGATTATCGCTGATGAATGCATCGACATTCAGACCTGCCAGTTCCGCAGCCAATTCCAGACTCCTCTTCTCCGCGGCGGTGTAGAACGACGGGTACGTGATCACGGCGTCCGTGATGTCTGATCCCTTTCCAGCCAGTGTGTCGGCATTAGCCTTGATCTGCTTCAGCTGCATGGCCAGGATCTCCTCGACAAGGAAGGCATCCTTCCTTTCGGCTTCTCCCAGTCTGTTGCTTCGCAGGCCAACCGTGCCACGGTCACCAGGCGCTTCTTCCAGGCGCAATGCAGGATAGCGGTTGTGGAAACTTTTGATCAACTCATTGTCCGCATCGAAAGGAAGTCCAAGCAGAGTCTTGAGGTTCGAGTAGACATCATCGGGATACCGTGCCGCTAGCGCCAAGGCGTCGCCACCGTAGAATCTCTCGGGGAACAAGGCATCGGCCTCGCGGGTAGGCTTGAACGCTACAGCGGCGGACTCCTTGCGCTTCGAATCTTTGGTGAGGACAATCTCAAGCGGAATTCCGGGTTTGACGAGCGTAGCTTTTAGGTACTCTGTACCGACATCGATACCAAGGACTGCGGAACCCGCAGCCGCGGCTGGGGCAGGAAAGCTGAGGACGAAGAGGAGAAACGGTAGAATTAGGGAGAGTACGGGGAGGGAGGTGAGCGAGGCATAGGACCGTCGCTGGCTGCCGGGAGCCATGGTCTGTGTAATTCTGATGCTGCGAGAGTCAGTAAATCCTTCCGTCCTGATGGTCGTTCTCCACACATTGTCGCATACCTTCTGCTTATTACAAAAATTCAATGATTCCCCATCCGATATATGAATTAACAGCTTTTCTTTTCTCGGATATATTTGGAAAGAGCGATTGGTGATAATAGCTATTGGTACATCGAATATGTTTAATGCAGGGTTCGGAGGAGGGCTGAATAGTGAAAGTAGCTGTCGTGAACTATGTGCCGGTTAGCTGGCTGGAGGGAAGCATATGTGGAAAGAAATAGACCACGTACGCAAGATCTAGAACGACAGAGTCATCTAGGCCACAATCACAGTTGGAATTACTGGCCACCTGGCAGTAAGCGAAAGTAGGACCAAGAAATGAGATTCACGATGAATGAAAGGCGCGATGATTGCACAGAGGCCACGTTTGGCCGACCGGTTCGCTGTTTGTTCTGTTTGCCCCCGCCGATCGGCGCCCCGATCGTCGTGCTTAAAAGGATTCCGCTGCTTCAGGGTCCAACTAGATATTTCCATCTGCAGGGGGTGAGCAATGATGCTACAAGTTCGATGCAAGTGTGAGCTATATTTTCATTTATAAGGCTAGTCATCGTCAAAGTCAGAGTCGCTCATCCATCCTGTCTCGTATGTCTCGCGGATCTCGCCCAACCCATTGACCAAAGTTTCCCGCTCATCCACGCCAGCCACTCGTCCAGCCAATGTCTCATAGACTTTCAGTCTTTCTGCCGTTCGCGAAGAGACAGTCAATGCGGCAAGAATACTGATCTTCTCCTTCGATCTGAGTTCCGGGAACATATTCTGAGGGAAGCTGTCCAATACCGGGAAAGGTAGGGTCGTATGAAACCTATATGTTATGTTAACGATGTGACTGCATGGAACAAGTTCAGCGGGCTTGTCTGACCTCTGGAACATTGGTTCCGAGTTAAAGTGTCGTTTTCTGCGGAGGATACCCTGGTCCTCCCCGCCCGACTCATTCTCCCGATCGGCAACTCCTCGTGAAACTTGAAGCTGGTTGAAGACATGGTGGGACTTTTGGCAGGTCAGCCCGTCGTAGGTGAAGTCCAGATCAAAGTCTTTCTTGATCGGCGAACTTCCAGGCTCTTTCTCATCACTATCATCCGATGGTTTGGTAGGCGATTTGGCGGCATCTTCACCATCCTGCACGATCGTAGATTGCAGCTCGAATATCTTATGGATACTGTCATCACCTGCCAGGGACGCCTCAAAGTCGTGATATGGACGCAGTCGCGTGGGAAGTGACACGCTTTCCATGGCGGCGCTAACCAAGGCCGAGGTGTACCATTCCGATCGAGGATCGAGATAGATAGATCGGGGGATTCGACTTGGAGGGTCGATAATGGGCGCATACAGCGATGCCTGTGTGGAGATGGCATGTACAGACCGAGCTTTGTTCAAATCCCTTTTGAACTGAGTTTGCTGCCATATGATCCAGTGTAAGCTTCACATAGACCTAGAACATATCGTAGAAGCACTCACCCGATCGACCTTCTTTCCGTTCTCGATGGCCCAAACCCAGACTGACTTCTTGCCATATTCGTCCCTAATCCTGTCAATGTACTTTGCAGCAAAGCCGCCCCATGCGTCGTCAGAGCCGGTGAATATTTGCAGTGCACGCAGCTGATCGCATTCTTCTGCGAAAGGTCTGACGTCTCGGTCGAGCAAGTCATGCTCCTTGTCGAGCTCATTGAACAGTTCTTCTCCAATAGTCCAATCCTCAAAGGGCATGATTTTGGAGTTCAACTCATAGTCGTTGAGCTGCACAATGGAGCGAGGGTGATAGAACAGTCGGTTATAATCCGACCAATACCTTACTGTCTCCGCAGAGAGCGTTGGTGCAGGTAGCCCCGCGTCGAGGCTCTTCTGGTAGTCACTCTGTGGAATTGGCGCTTGCTGTTGTAAAATCTCCTTTCCGTCCCTACAATTCCATTGTTAATATTGCACCTGCCTCGGATAAAAGAGAGTACGTAGGAAGGTGAAAACCCACCATAGACCCTGGCCCGGGGTGGCATCTTCAGTCAACTCGTACAAAGCGTTGTACTTGCGGAGCGTGCCAAAGCCACCTTTCAGATCATATATGACAGTCCTAGGGGTGTATGTTTCCGACCCATCGGCGCCGACGCCTGGGCGAAAATGGACATCATGGTCTACTGGAGATTCCTCTTCCTCGTTGTAAGTGAAGTAGGATTCCTGCCAGAAATGTCAGCTATGGGATGCATATTCGGTGAAAAACGCAGCCTGATAATTGACTCACTAACCTGGAGATTCCAAAAATGTGTGGCCAGGTAATTAGCTCGTTGACCGAGCTGGAGGGTGATGATTTCATGCATGGTCGGTGTTGACAATTACTATGTTCCACATTGGCGTTGCACCCAGAAAATATATGCAGCTGTCGCAGATGGATCCTACAGGATGATGCACATGCAGGGGATTTCAATTCCACAAAGGCTCCTGAAAGAAGTACCGAAATTTGCAGAAGCTAATCTCAGTGCAGTCCAGGATCTTCAAATTATCTGCGAGTCTAGAACACAGCACCCACAATTTCATAATGGTGGGCAACTGATGGCATCACAAGCAGTGGACGCACAGACCACTGGATGCGCTGAATGCCTATCTGGGACTAGTGGAAGATTCTGTGACACGTGAACCCCGCCTTCCCAATACGGCTAATCATAGTTGTCCCGGGCAACGGTCACGAGACTGCGGCGCGAGCAACAAACAAGCGTGGAATCGGCGGGATCGGTTGATTGTTGTGGGTGCGTCACCGATTAGGGGATCATCAACCGAGCACTACTCTCCTCTCACCTCCACTCCAGGTGGATTTTCCACGGGGCTTCCTTCGGCACCTACTAGTTTCACAATCCCTCGAGACACGACTGTCAGACTGTCATGTTTGAGTCTTGAGTGAACGCATCATTTTTTTACACTAACAAGCCACAGCAACAGCACATACTGCCGCGATGGATTCTCCATCGAGCGCGACGCCGAGCCCGACAAAGGCCCTCAATCCCCTGTCACCAGACCGGATGAACCAGCAGATCGGACTTGGCTCACCCTCAATGTCATCGGATATTTTCAACATTCAGCGGAAGACTCCCCGGGGACTCATCGATGTACAGGCCAAGGTCGCGTATCTGAACAATTTGTCGCGAGGAAACAGCCCCGCGCAGGGCTCACAGCCTTCAGCAGCATCTACGGCAGCTCTTCAGCGGGCTATCCTTGGGCGCGAAGAGGCTGAGTCGGCGTTGGCCAATGTTTCCGCTCAGCTTTCTGAAGCCCAGTCGCGGGAGCGTCGGATAAGTGAAAGACTGGAGTCCCTGCTGGAAGAACTGCAAACAACAAAAGAACGCCAGGCCCACGAGCGATCAATCTTCGAAAAAGAAATTAGGAAGGCGAGGAAGGAGGCTTTTCGAGCTGGCTCCGTTCTGGTGAAAACACAGGAGGAGCTGAAAAACGCAAGAAACGAAGCAAAAGGATACAAAGACGAGGCCCAGGCAGAGCGAGCAGCAAAAGAACAAGCGAAACAGGAGGCTTTCGAACGCGCTTATGCTATTGCTGGACTCACGGAGGAGATGGAGGTCCTTAAAGAACAGCTACGGGCCGCCGAGGCCAACAACCACTCGCAGAAGCTCGAAGCGCAAGCGCAGCAGAAGAAGAACGATATTGGACGAATGTCGCTGACTGAAGGCGATCTCAATCTCTTGTTGACACCTACCCCTCGGAGACCAAAACGTTCTGCTGAGGAAATAGCCAATCCGCCTCAAGCCAATGTCGCTGAATCTTCACCCGTCAAGGATACCCCTCCCAAGAGGCAAAGGATGTCAGACGTAATTCCTAGAAAGGAGGCCGCGGAGATCACGACACTCGATGTACATGAAGAACAGATCGCTGAGTTGGAGGAGACTCTCAGGCGCGAGCGTCAACTCAGAGTCGACGCCGAGGGAATGCTTGAATTCTTGCGCCTGGAGTGCCATTTTAAACGTTGCACTTGCCGCTTGGCAGAGCAGAAAAGCACTCCTCATACCCATGAACCGCAAAGCGTGGATACGACGAAAAAGGATGAGTTGGAACACCCAAAACATCGCAAAAATGACCAGAACGCACTTGCTGCACCAGAGGAGCCAAGTCCGTCTCATACTCCTAAAGGCGAGCCTAGATATGTGACAAGTGTCAAGGAACAAATACTGATGGAGGATCCTGCCGGAGAAGAAGCAGCCGAGCGCGAGGTGGCCGGGGATGATGTCGATGAAGATGTGGATGAAATCGTTGAAGAGGTCGAGGAGATCCAGGATGTTGACGATGACGACGACGATGAGCCTCCGGAGGAACCTTTGATAACATTCTCACCTGCCACCGGGACCTTCCACACCTTCCCTTCTCCTGTACGAGGATCGCCCCGAAAGGCCAACGAGGCTACTGCAAACGATCATCAGTCACCAGCAGCCTACGCTGAACATGGAATAGACGCCCGTGTGATGTCTGGTAGCCCTGCCCCGAAGTATGGGTCTCTTCAGCACCAGGCTCCATTTGATTCTATAACGGATCGTGAAGCCACTCCGAAAGGCCACCCCTCGCCAGCGGTTGTTGATGTGCCATGGGATCCTGTAATGCCCATTGGACATGAAGCCGGCACCCCTGAGAGGCACAATGACCCCACGAAGGTCCCTCTGCGCGATGATGGGGGATCAAATCGCTTTTCCGACGTTCCTGGGACCCCCATCAGCCGAGAAGAAGCACTGGCTCAGATTAGAGCGCGGAGAGAGAGAGCAAACACCATGAAGAGGTCTGTCAGTGCCAGTGAAAGCGGGCTTCGCTCAGGAGGCATGGGAGTTACTCCTGTCCGGAGCGCTCGACGGTACCCTGGCGTCCAGAATCCAGATGCAAGCGACGGTTCCATCAGAAGTCGGAGGGATATGAGCGCTCCTATCCAAATGTCCCACTACTGAAACCGCCGTCCCGTCACTGGCTGAACATGACAGCCAGGATCAGTGCGCTTGACTCAACGATCCAAAATCATCTCTCATTCCTCATATTCTTGGTTAACGACTCAACTCTCTCTTGATACCCTGGTCCTCCGAGCGAAATGGCGTTTTTGTCTTTTTGGATGTTGATTTTTGTTGGGCATACACGGTGCTCTCTCTTGTATCCATTTGTTTTTATGCCTGTTGCGAAAAGCTACGACCATTACTTATTTCCCTCTTGCATATACCAAGAGGTTAATTTTCTTCCACTTGAATGCTTTGCTATTCTGGTTCATTCTATCATTTGTCCCGACTCCATGGCGAAAGAGCATCGCTTATCAGCCTTGACATTCTCTTAGATCACTCTCTACTCTCCTTTGTCTAGTGATTATTTTTCGTTTTTTTTGCCTGGTGGTCCCACCCTTTTTCTGTATATAGGTTGATTTCTACGATGCCTGACCGGTGGATCTCAAGATGCTGTTTGGATGAAGACTAGAACCTTTACGATATTGACATGACAATTTCAATGCGAACTCGCCTTATTGTTACAAAAAAGTCATTTGAGTAGTAGTAGCACTATTAGCCTAGCATGAGCATTCCTCGAGATGGACTAGACAGTCTATAAATGCTAATACCGGGCCGTATATACTTTCATGCGTACACATAGTGCCAGATAAGACGATCTCGAAATATAGAAAGAAGAAAGAACAAGAAGTAGGATGCACCCCACTATTGCAGCCCAACCAGCACATACACCGTTTATATGATGGAAATACCGCAACATCTGATCCTCGCACTGTCCACACGTGCTTTCCGACCCCACCACAGGTGAACCAGTTCCTCGACAAACAGACGGTCAGCTGTACTCCAGATATCCAGGCCCATCTCGGTCAGATCTTCAGAAGTGATCTTCACTGGGTCGCTATCGTCGTAGGAGGCTCTGGTGTCGCGCGTCCCGGTCCCTGTCTGCTGTTGTAGCAATGGAGATCTGGAATCGTCTTCTTGGGTGGATTGTCGGCCAATGGTAAGGGAGGGGCCGGGACCTTCGTCGTCTTCTGGATCATCTTCGTAAGAAACGGTGTCCTCTTCGGGTATCTCTTCGTCGTCATCTTCATCGTCATCGGGGGAATTGCGGCTATCGTGCCGGGCAACTACGTCGGATAGAGTGATGAAGATTTGGGCTGTGAGGCGACGGAAGTACGCGACTAGGGCAATTTCAGGCGGCTGGGTCGATTCCTGCGGTTGAATGCTTCGACGGCCGAGAGATCCTGAGGGTGGGCTGGGAAGGGTTTCTACGCTGGCTAACAGGCGCGTGTCCTGTTCCATTTGGTGCTCTTCTTCCTCTTCTTCGGAGAGACCGTCACGCTTCTCACCGGCCGATGCCCACCATATGAAGGAGGTGTATGCCAAGCGTGTCCATGAGAGAGGTTCGACAATGGGACTGGAAGAGTACGTCGAGGCTGCGTCCGAGTCGTCGTCGGCTTCAGTGGATGCTGCTTCTTCTTCTTGGGTTACGTGCCGAAGACCCTTGCGAAGGGTAGCATAACGTCGTGCGTCGCGCTGGGTTGCTTTGACTTCGATGGATTGGGGCGTCTTGCCCTTTGGCGGTTGCGTATGAAAGATGGAAATAGTAGGAAATACCTTCTCTGCGGCGTTCTTGGAGTGAGCGGGAGGTAAGGTGACAAGAACATCGAAGAGCTCAGGCTTCATGGTCAAAACGCTGTCTGTGCTGCATGCAATCCAGGCTGCGTCATGTTCTGCATTGACCGAAGTGCCCACAAAAGACGAGAGGTGAGGAATATCATGAATGCCGACGTTGAACAATGGGCGAGGTCGCGGAGAGGGTAAACCGTTTTGCGGCAGTAAAGGAAGGAGCGAATTAGGTAAGGAGGCCAATAAAGAAAGATCGTACACTATTTGACTGTAAGCATGGGTGGAAAGATATTGGATAGTAATCATACCATAGCTACAGGGCTCTTGGACTGGCGCTTCGGCCATGAAAAGGATCCTTTTGCGCAGCAGTGCTGCTCTGTACAGAGGAAATAGGAGAGGACCGAAGGAATCTAGAAAATTAGGGAGCGAGGAAGCTGGATGGAAGGGCGTCAGGGCCGGCCTGGGCGTTTCCAACACGATTGCATCACTGAAAGCGCGGGTTCGATGGACGGCATCTCTTAGATCACCATGGGCTCGCAGCCGGAGACTGAGAGGAGACTCCATGGGGGAATCGGGTGGCATAGCGGAAGAATCGTTTTCACGAATCTCGTAATCATTCCAGTACTCTGTTAAAGGTTGCGTATTGGACATATCCTCGGCATAGTTCCTGAAAGCGATCACGAAAGCGTCAACGGCCGGTTCAAAAGGACAGCGCAAGGCCGATTTCAACTTACGCCGCCAGTTCTTTGAGCTTGGGAGCATGTCTCCAGCTCTTCCCCAATCTTCCGGAGCTTAATGGGACGAGAACCCCGATAGCAAACATCTTTGCATTTCGTTCCGCTTCCTCAGCCGGCCAATTGACAAACGCGCTGATGCCAGCATATTGCTCGTGGACGAAGTATCTGGCAAGACCGAGCTATTAGCAAGCATTCATGGCCGGACGAGGCCGTAATATACGTACACCAGATCTTCTGAGACATTGTGCAGACCAGATGGAAGCGATTTGTACTCCACAGCTCCTTCAACTTCAACTATATGATCGGCTGGGTTAGGCGACACTATCACGGGAAGGACCGTTGAAGCAGCAGGGTGCTACTTACCCCCGGGAACAGTACGCTTCCACGATATCACGTATCTATATTCCGGAAGAGCCGTCAGTAACCAGAATAGTTTGCGTGGGTTGCTGTTAAAACAGACTTGGAATTCCTCACCCGGCCTTGATATCGAAACGAATGACGAAGAGGGCCGCAATGCCAGGCGGCGACTCAACGACCGTAGCGGGGCGGGGCACGTCAAGCCCCAGGGGCTTGCGTCTAAAAGGACCAGGTGCCATTGCCGGAGAGCGCGTAATCAGCGAAGGTGACCGACCCCATGGAATGAGTGAGAGGAGCAGAATCACGGAGATGGCGACATCGGACGATACAAGCTGGCGTCGGTCAAACAGTTAGCGGACCTTTGGGGGGGAAGAGTTGCGGAGAAGCTGTCGTTGCCTGAGGACACTAAACCCGCTAGCTCCATCAGGTTAGTCCCGTGCGGATCAGCTGAATGAATTGCAATTGTTAACTATTCAACAGCTGCTGCTTCATCATGATATCCAGTTGTTCACAAAAAGAGAGCAAGAGGAGACGAGTTGACAAAAAAAATTCAACCAGTGGCACTCTCTTGAGAACATTAGCTCCCCAGTTCAGTCGCTTGGATAGGTCTGGTTATTTACTGTACTTTACCGAATTGGGAAAAACTAACTGAGCATCCCACTATACTTTACTCCGACCGACTCCTGGAGCCATACATAAGTGAGAGAGACCTCTTCCTGTTCGAGCCTCTGTCGATTCCAACCATCGATCGCCCAATCGAAGGCCTAAACACAATGACTACCATGGACTCCAAAGCTCTACCCCATCCCTACTACCCCCTCAATGCTCAAATCCATGGTTATGCTCCCAACGAGGCTTCCTTACTCAGTATCCTCAGTACTGCTAGCGTGGGCGCGGCAGCTTTACTGGGAATCATTTTCACCCTGACCAGTAGACTCCGACCAACGCTAAAGAATGCCGACCGTCTTGCTATTCTGTGGTTTGCCCTCTGTAAGTCGGACTCCTTAGTTACGTACTGCTCCAACAGCGAGACAACAATTCTCGAGGCTAATTGCAGTGTGAACTCCCAGCGGGTACGATTCACTGCTTCTTTGAGGGTTATTTTATGATCAACCATGCTCGTATGGCATCCGCGCAGGACTTCTTCGGTCAGCTATGGAAGGAATACGCCCTGTCGGATTCGCGATACATGACCTCAGATACCCTCGTCCTATGCATGGAGACTATCACGGTCGTAGGTGCACCCGTGGCTGCAGGGACCCCTGCTCATTATCCTCCTTAGCTCCGTCTGCGACACCGTTGCTAATATACTGGAATAGCTTCTTTGGGGCCCGCTCTGTTTTCTGGTTGCATACTTGACCCTTTCTCAGCATCCTCTGCGCCATCCATTGCAGATCATCGTGTGCATGAGCCACCTCTATGGCGATGCTCTGTACTATGCGACCAGCTTGTTCGATCACTACGTTCATGACCGACCGTACTGCCGCCCAGAGCCTTACTACTTTTGGGTGTACTATTTCCTCATGAATTTCATCTGGATTGTGGTTCCATTCTGTACGTTCCAGTCTCACGGCTCCCTTGCTTGTTTACCACTCATTTGGAGCTGACGATGGACCTAGACTATCTCTACCGGAGTATCCGGACAATAACAGAGGCTCTTAGAGCCGTGGAAAATACTTCCAAACAGCGCAAGGACCGATGAGAGAGACGTACAGTGTGAGATGATGTCACCCGTGTTATAAACGGAACAGCATCTAGATGAGGGGTAGTGCTGGCTAACGCAGACCAAGGGCCTTGACCTTTCCCTGACCATGCATGCGTTTAATCTCAGAGAGCATTCCCGCATGAGATGATCTTCGCTTCGGCCGGAACAGCCCTCTCTTGTCGAGCCTCCAATCAACAGCACCCGAGTGGGAAAAAGCAATCCGCATAGCCCAGTGCATGACAACGCACTCGAATTATCAATAAATCAGGTAGAATACTTTTCCCTTTTTAGCCCACTCTGTGACGCGTAGCCCCCAGTGGATCGGTTTAGGCATTCCTGCTCTTCCGGCAAACAGAAGGTATAGCTCCGAAAAACACGTTAATTACACCGGAATGATCGTCTTACGGCTACTGATCCGCGGTGCAATATGACTGCTCTATTTATCGGAGTTCAAACAGAAAGAGTTGAGGAACTTTCAAACGACCACGACATTGGGCGGCCAGGGTGGTGACAGGGTGCGAGGCATGGGATGC